CTCAGGAAGTGTTCGAAACAATACGACCCCATGAAGACATCTATTGTGGATTCCGGCTTCTTGGTGTATAATGTTGTCTTATCTGGCGTGATCACCTGGGCCCCGGCCCTGGTCGGGAACTCCGTTTCGATCACTTTGCTAGGATTGGCATTGGAATCGCCAGCGATGAACAACGGAATGCGCTGGCTGGAGGCGGTCTGGGGTACCTGGGCAAGCGCGGTGAGGTTCTCCTCGTTCAGGCCGACGGGGCCGGCCAAGTATATAGATCCTAAACAAAAGGCTGATGACCTGGGACCTCATCAAGGCAGGCGGGTGTAGCCCGAGACTGCTGGAAGCCTTCTGGAAGAGGTAATTTGTGGATTCCAAGATCTAGCCCGTTGCGCACAAGTACACCAACACCCTGACACGGGAACCCCTTGGCACTCCGAACCGCAGGCGGCAAAACTGCTAACCATGCCCTTTTAGCACACCGTTCGGTTTCCTTGGCCAGATCATGCGCTTGGAGGCGAGTTTCCTAGCAGCAGATAACCTGGACTGGTTTCGCCTCATTGGACCCCGAGAACTTCTTAATGCCAGCCCAGCTACTGCAATTGAAAATACAGCTTGTGAGAATGTTACCCAGGCGAAGGCTTTGCCTCGCCCGAGCCCGCATTGCCAGCGGGGCCTGATTTGGCCTTGGCCTGGCGCTTGGCGAACCTGCCCTGCGCTGCGACCGCCTCCTCGCCGAGACCGAATATGCCAGTGGATGCGTTGATGACCAGGTCCTCACCCTCGGCGACGTGCTTGCGGACCGTGCCACGGTTGTCATCCACTGCCATGGCGGAAGGCGGGGCGCCCAGACCATCATCAGGTTGGTACCTGTACTCCTCATGCGGCGGGGGTTGCGGGAACTGCTCCTTCAGCTGGCACAGGTTGATCTGAAGGCTGCTGCCCCTGCGGCTGCTGCTGCTGCTGCTGCTGCCGCCACTCCTGCTCCAACTTGGCGTTGACCGCATCGAGTTCCGCCTTGATGTGGGGTGGCAGTCCCTGCGAGAAACGCGTTTCCACGAAAGTGAACGGAGTGCTGTCCTTATCATTCGCATTGAGGCGAGCTGCTACCTCTGCCACTGCTGCCTTCGCCGTCGCGCTGTGCTGGGCCCCCAGCTGGGCGATCTCGGCAGGCGGCTCATTGTACGAGTCCACAGACTTGTCGTGCAGCTCGGCAGCCCTGTCCAAATTGATGAGGTCGCGTTCGACTTCGCCTTTCTTACACTCCAAACGGCGCCGTTGTTGCTGAAGTTGATCCGCCAGTGACTGGGTCTTGGCGTCCAGCGACTTGCCCTCGAGGGCCTTGTTCTTTGCCTGGCGGAGGTCCTCACAAGCCTGCAGATACTGCTTGCCCTCCTGCCCGACCGTCTCCTTCCAGAAGCTGACCGCCTGGATGCATATGGCGACGTCGTCCTTGGCTGGGTCTGTGGCCTCGGGGGCGAGGGACGACTTTGGGCCATCTTCCTTCCGCGGCTGAGCTTCATGTCCGCGGGCGCCACGGCTACGAGACCATCTGTTGCGAAACTCCCGCTGCTGGTGGCTGCCTCCATCATCGTGCACCTCAGTTTTTTCACCTGCAGCACGGGAATGATGGGATTGGGACTTGAAAGACTTGCCACATTCTGTGCAATGCTTGTGTCCACCAGCCCCTTTGCCAGGTCCAACCCCAGCAGTGCGGCGTCCAGCAGTAGCAGTTCTTCCACTGCCTGGGGCCTCCCATTGCGGCGGGGAGACTGACTGGCCGTTCGCAGCTGCGACCAGTAAGAGACAGAACATGTGGCGGTGAGGTGTGGCTGCTACCCTGGGCCGAGACAGCCAGGCCTGTGGAGGGCTGCCCTTCCACCTCGGCCTCGAGACACTGGAGTCGGGACGGGGAGGAGTTCCCGTCTTGAGCCAAAATGGCTACGGGGGAGGAGGAGGAGGAGGAGGAGGAGGAGGAGAAGGAGGAGGAGAAGGAGGAGGAGGAGAAGGAGGAGGAGAAGGAGGAGAAGGGAAGACGCCCACGCAGCGAGCCCGCGGGTTTCGAGAGGCAGCGCGCCACCCCGGAATGTACACGTCGTTCATTTCTAATCGCGCTCATTTCTAAGTGTGCTCGTTTCTAATTGTTCCTGGCCCCCCAGTGACCAAGAAGAAGCCCAGGATAGAGCAATCAGAAGTGAGAGGATCTTGGCCCCCCAACAAAATCAAAGAACTTTCGAAGGATTAGAAATGAACGATGTGTAGACTAGTGCGAACCCGTGGGCTAAAGCCACGGTGTGCTGAACCTGGGGTTTGCACGCCGTGGGTGAACAGCTCGTCGAAGTTGAACAGCTCGTCCCTGGGGCCGTGTCAAGGGCATGTTCGGACCTCCCGCGAGCCTGTCTAAGGCGTGTTGGAGGCCTCTTGCGGTTTGTGGGCGCCTCTGGGGCCGTTCCCGCGCTGTCCCCCAAAGCCTCCTCTGGGGGACAGCCCGGGAAACATATTGCGCGTGCGTGATTGAAGGGGCCCTGGGACACACAAATTCGCCGGCCCAACGGGCCAGAGGCGTGCTAAGATCTCCGGTAACTGGTTAACAATTTTCTAGTTCGCGCGCGCGGGGCGGCCCCTGGGGGTCCCCGGACGAAAAGTACCCCGACCAGGTCCCGGCCGGTCCCCGGCCGGGTCCCGGCCGGGTCCCGGCCGGGTCCCGGCCGGGTCCCCCCGAGCGCTCCATGAGCGCACCAACAGGGCTCCGAGACGTCCCCGAGAGCCCCAAGAAAGGCCAAGAGGCCCCCAAGAGGCCCCCAAGATGGTACACGAGGGGTCCGACATGCCACAAGATCGCTCCAAGACGCCCAAGATAGCCCCCAGACGCCCCAAGAGGCCTCCAAGAGCACTCCCAATAGGGCCCCCGGAGGCAAAAATCATTGTTTTTCCATAGGTTTTTGAGAGATTTTGGAGCTTCCACCTTTTCGGCTTCCCGACGCCCCAAGACGGCCCAAGAGGCCCCCAAGATCGCCCCAAGAGGGCCCAAGAGGCACCCAAGAGGGCCCCAAGATGGCCCAAGAGGGCTCGAAGACGGCCCAAGAAGCCTCCAAAACGGTCCAAGAGGGCCCCAAGAACGCCCCCAAAGGGGCCCCAGAGAGGGAACACGAAACAACATTTCGAGCCCTCGGCCCTAAGAAGCCCCTACGAGGCCCCTAAGAGGCCCCAAGAGGCCCCCACGGGGCCCTCAGGAGGCCCCCAAGAGTCCCCCAAGCGGCCCCAGGAGGCCCCCCAAATGCCCCCCCGAGCGCCCCAGGAGTGCCCCAAGCGGCCCCAGGAACCCCCAAAGCGCCGCATTGACACCAGGCCCTCGGGCAAACGGCAGACATGAGACTGTATGGGCCGGCGGAATGAGCGAAGCGATTAAATAAATACACACAAATCAAAAATATTCCCATACTTTTCCATACTTTCATGGTTTTTGTCTTCCCCCAAATCCTATATTTTCCTATATTTTCTGGGGAGTCGACGATTAACTGTGTCTGTGTGTTTCTTTCCCTCCTGAGTGATGTGAGGCTGCTGTCAGAAGGTCCCCCTGTCACCCCTGAGGTCAGCTGCAGGGTTTGCTGCATGCAACAGGAGCCGGGGCTGCAGACTGTGTTCGAATATCCTGGGAGGGGTCTGCGCCATCACAAAGTCGTCCAGGGAGGGATCTCGTGGTCTTGGAGCTGTCTTGGGGGCCACCGAAGGTTCTACTCGGCCGTAGGGGGGAGCGGGATGCTGGTCCCGGCAGGGTATGCGAGCCCCCCCCTGTGACCCCTGATCGGCCGTAGAGGGGGAGCGATCGAAGTGGCTGGAGGTCCCCCTGCACCCCTGACAGGCGGACTGGAGACCGCAGAGCAGCTGGAGCCTCGATGAGGGAAGGAGGAAGAGATCAGAGGAGAAGGTCCCCCCTGTCACCCCTAATCGACCGTAGGGGGGGAGGTCTTGAGGGCGACTCTGGGCCATTTCGGAGTGGTCCTGGGATCGCACTTGGGAGCTCCGTGGAGACTATGGGAGTCTCTTCCTGGGACCACTCTTGGGAACTCCGTGGAAACTGTCGGAGTGTCTTGGCAAGCGTCGGAGTCTTCTGGGCGACTCAGGGGCATCTCGGAGTGGCCCTGGGACCGCTCTTGGAAGCTCTGTGGGGACGATCGGAGTCTCTTGGGAGGCTCTGGGACATCTCGGAGTGGTCTGAGGCCTGCCTTGGGGGTCTATGGCTTTGTGGGGGGCGTTTCGGGTTCGCGAGACGGCGAAAGGGTGCCGTGGCTCGAGGCACGCTCCTCGGGCGCTCCTTGGGAACCATCGGAATCTCTTCGGAGACTCTCGGGCATGTGGAAGTGTTCTTCTGAGGGCTCTTGGCCCCTCGGGGGCTGCGGGAAGGGCGGCATCTGGGCTCCAGTCGGCCTCTCTTCGACCACCCGTGGGAGCTTTCCGGAGCCTCCCAGGGGCTCTCTTGGCCCATCTCGGGACTTTCGTAGGCCGTCTCGGGTGCCTCTTGGGCCTTCCTGGGGCCATGTAGGAGGTCTCGGGCCGTCTTGGAGCTCGCGTTGGTTCCTGTTGGGCAGTTCCGAGGGCCCTTTGGGGGCCACAAGAAGCTCTATGAGGTTGTGTTGGGCTTTTCCTGGGCAGTCTTCGGGCCCTCTGGGCCCGAAATGGCGAGACATGGAAAACCTTCAAAACCCCAAAGGAAAACCTATGATTTTGGCCTTGGGGGATTGGCATCGGGGTCTGGTTCAGCTGTTTTTGGAGGCACCTGGCCCGCCATCGGGCCGCCTTGGGCTGTCATAGGGGCTCCGTTCGGGCCCTCTTGGGTCATCCTCACGCGCACTGGAGCGCCTTAGAACTGTCTTGGGGCTGTGAAAGACCGTCTTGGGGCCACCGAAGGGCTCTCTGACGCCGTCGGAGAGCGCCAGGGCGCTTCGGGCGCTAGGGGGCAGCTATTTCACTACAACCCCGTTTCGCACGCGCAACGCCCAGAATTGTTGTACAGATGACCTCGAGCTCCAGCTTCGCCTCCCATATCTCGCTGAGCAGCACCAGAGCCAGCTCCCACTGCTCGCCTTTGGTGCACGCACTGATCCCAGCACTGTAGCAGATGACGTCGGGCTCCATATTCTCCTCCAACATCTCGCTCAGTAGCACCAGAGCTCGCTGCCATTGCTCTCCCTTCTGGCACGCGGTGATCCCAGCGCTGTAGCAGACTAGGGCTGACCCGTGGACTCCGTCCACGACATCTGGCCGAGAGCATTCTCGGGGAAGCGGCGGGAATGCTGCCGAAAAGCTGTCCACATGGCGGTCAGCCCCTCGGCTTCGAGGGGGCCTCTGGAAGCTCTCTTGGGCTCTCGTCGGTGCCGTCTGGGCCGTTTCGGAACCGTCTTGGGCCGCATTGGGCGCCTCTTGGGCGCGCTGGGGGCCCGTCTTGGACCGTCTTGGGCGGCTCTTGGGGCTGTCTTGGGTGCCTTCGGGGCCGTCTTGGGGCCGTCGTGGGCCGTCTTGGGCGCCTATTGGGCCGTCTTCGGGCTGTATTGGGCCGTCTTTGAGGCTGTCTTCGTCTTGGGCCCCCCTGATAGAGGCATTTTGGGCCGATCGTGGGGGCTCTGTGTAGCCGTCGTGGACGCGTCGGAGACGAAAAGCACGAGAATGCAACAAATAGAAGTTTCCCGACGGGACTGGGACGATTTGCGCGTCTCGGGGCTGTCCTGTGGAGTCCTCGAGGGCCGTCTTCGGAGGCTCCTGGGATCCTCTGGAGGACATCTTGGGCAGTATTGGGTGCTCCTGAAGCCGTCATTGTCTTCGTCGTCGTCGTTGTCGTCGTCGTTGTCGTCGTCGCGTGGGTGTTCGATTCGAACCAAAATCTCTCAGAGAGTTTTGGTGGACTTCGTTCGCAGAGCTCTTCCAAGGCGCCCGAAACTGTGAGCACACGCATTCACTGGAAACCTTGTCTGGGATCTAGGCTCGAATCGAACACCTCGTCGTCGTGGTCGTTGTTGTCGTCAGCGTCGTCGTCGGTGTTGTCGTCGCGAGGGTGTCCGTCCGATTCGAGCCAAAACCCCGGGGGGAGTTTTTCTGGACCTGTTCGCAGAGCTTCTCCAGGGCGGCCGAAACTTGAGGAAAACACAATCACTGGAGAACCTTGTCGAGGACTCCGGCTCGAATCGGACACCTCCGAGCCGTCGTCGTCCTCGCCGTCGTCGCTGTCGGAGCCGTCGTCGTCGTTCCGACGGTGTCCGATTCGAGCCGAAATTCCGGGTGGAGTTTGTGCTGAACGTCGTTCGCAGAGCTCCTCCATGGCTGCCGAAATGTTGAGAAAACGCATTCACTGCAGAACCTTGTCTGGAATGTTGGCCCGACGTCGTCGCTGTCGGAGCCGTCGTCGTCGTTCCGACGGTGTCTGAGTCGAGCCAAAATCCCGTGTGGAGTTTGTTCTGAATGTCGTTCGCAGAGCTCCTCCAGAGCTGCCGAAATGTTGAGAAAACGCATTCATTGGAGAACCTTGTCTGGGATTTTGGCCCGACTCGGACACGTCGTCGGCATCGTCATTGTCGTCGTCGCCGTTGTCGTCGGCATTGTCGTCGTCGCGAGGGTGTCCGAATCGAGCGAAAGTCCCGGGCAGCAGTTTCGGCTGGACGTCGTTCGGACACCTCTGTGCAGTGAGCCTTGTCCAAGATCTAGGCTCCAATCGAACACCTCGTCGTCACTGTATTTGTCGTCGTCGTTGTCGTCGTCGTTGTTGTTGTCACGAGGGAGTCCGATTCGGGGCAAAATCCCGAAGAGAGTTTTGGGTGGACGTCGTCCGCAGAGCTTCTCGAGGGCGGCCGAAACTGTGAGAGCTCGCATTCACTGGAGAACCTCGTCTGGGATCTAGGCTTGAGATCTTTCTATACCACTAAGCCCTGGGATCCTGAAAATCTTTGAATTTTCATTTTATTTTGGTTTTATTTTCGAACGGTTTTTTCTGGAAAATCGTTTTTTATATGTGCATCGAGCACTGCGTCGGGCACGATGTTGCTTCTTCCACGATGGTGCGACCAGCTGCGGTGCGCACTCGGTGCGCGTGAGCGCAAAGCTTCGAATGGCCACCACTCGCGCATCCATGCCTTGCCCGCGCGCCGCGCGCTATGGGGCGGCCAGGGCGGGACAGGGGCGCTATTTGCCGCCCCCCATATCATTCCCTCGTCGCCCTTGCCCAGCCCCTGTCCCGCCCTGGCCGCCCCATAGCGCGCGGCGTGCGGGCAAGGCGTGGATGCGCGAGTGGCGGCCATTCGAAGTGTTGCGCTCACGCGCGCCGAGTGCGCACCACAGCTGGTCGCACCGTCGTGGAAGAAGCAACATCGTGCCCGACGCATTGCTCGATGTTGTACATATAAAAAAACAAGTTTCCAGAAAAAAACCGTTCGAACATAAAACCAACATAAAATGAACCCTCCCCCTCCCCCTCCTCCCTCCTCTCCTCCTCTCCTCCTCCTCTTTCCGCCTCCTCCTCCTCCCCCCCCTCTCTCCTCATTTCCTCCTCCTCCTCCTCCTCGTCCTCCTCCTCCTCCTCCTCCTCCTCCTCCTCCTCCTCCTCCCTCCTCCTCCTCCTCCTCCTCCGAGGCCAGTAAACGACACATAGTATCTGCGAATGTGCGCGGCGTCAAGCGAAGCCACTGACTGAGCCGAGAGTGAGGAAGCATGCCGTCCATTCTCAGGAGATAGTTGGGAGGAGGAGGTGGGGACGCTGAGCAGGAGGAGGTGGAGGAGGAGAATAAGGATACGGATGAGGAGGAGGAGGATAAGGAGGAGGAGGAGGAGAAAGAGGATGAGGAGGAGGAGGAGGAGGACGAGGAATAGGACGATGAGGAGGAGGGACACGCCCTTATGTTCGGGGCCTCCATCCACTGCCACGTGCAATGTGGATCCGCCGAAGTCCGAGGGACAGGCACCATGACCTCATCGCGCGTGCTGCCCCATCGCATGCATGTTGCGTTGCCGTCATGGCGTTTCTTCTCCTTTTAAAAGCCATACGCCGCCCACAGGTGGTGTTAGATTTGCGTGTGCGTTGACGCACCCTGTTCTCGAACCTATTCGGATGACCATTTGTGTTAGAAAGTTGTACGTGTGTCATGGGGGTTGTTGTCATCATCACATACCATAGAATGTGCCACACTGGGTTTGAAAACAATGGGGAAAGGGGGAATATCAATGGACGTGTATTGGTCTGCACGCGTGCAAGCACTGTTTGGGGAAACGCTGTTTGGGCACAACCAAAGTGCAAGCACTGCTTGGGCAGAAGGCCGACGTGCAAGCACTGTTTGGGGACACGCTGTTTGGGCTCAACACAAGTGCGAGCACTGTTTGGACATAGCCCGAATGCAAGCATTGTTTGGGCATGCTTCCAGCCTGGGTTGTTAAGTAAACAACCATTGCCGTGTATAATCCTCCTTCTGATAGCCATGGGTGTCTCGAAGAACGGTGCGGTGCTTGCTCGAAGACTGTCGGTGGTGCTCGTTCTCTCACTGTTTCGCCCGTGGCCGACTGCTGGTGTCCGAGCCGTGTCCAGAAGATACGTCCGCGGCGGGATCTAGAGATGACAAGAGATGTGCTGGCGCCGCGTTCGAGGGATGGCCTCGCCCGATGGGCGTGCACAGGTCCACGATGCCTCCCCTTGCTCCTCCTGCTCCTATAATACATCTGCTTTCCGAGCCTCCTCCCCTCCATCCGTTGACATTTGTTCAAACCCGTTCCGTTGCCATGCCATTTCGGGCCCGTGTTCGCCAGAGTGTGTCGCCAACGCTGTGTCCGCAGTGGCCGAGCGCGTGCCCTCGGCCATCGCTGGCATGGAGGAGGAGGGATGCTGGGATCAGTGGGGCGCTGAGTCGGCCGTCGACGAGGACAGCGGCTCCGAGAGCGCCCGCTGGGGCGAGTGGGCGGGCGACGGCTCGCCCGACGACGGAGCCGCTGCCCACGGCGCCGCTGGCGCGGACGTGCCAGGCGGCGTCGCCGCTCCTGGTCCTGGCGCGGCCGCTGGTGGCGCGGCCCCAGTGGCACCTGTGCCGCACGGCGCCGCTGGGGCGGCGGCGGCAGCTCCTGACGGCGCTCCAGGTCCGATTGCACTGCTGGGCCCGCCGTTGGCCGAGACGCCCAGCCAGCTTCGCCGTCTCTGGGTTGAGAGCGGCTCGCGCGCCAGAGGAGTCTTGAGGGGCGCCCCAGCAGCGGGCGCAGCTCCCCCTGGCGACGAGGCCCCCGTGGGGCCACAATGACAGGGTCGCAAACCTTCAGGGGGGATGGGCGGTGAGGCTGGGAGGATGACGGTTTGGGGGGGAGGAGGTCTCGGAGGAGGGGGGCGGCGATGAGGGCGACGGGGGGGGGCTCTGGACGACAGGCGAAGGGAAGAGGCGCAACGCCATGACGGGGAGGCGCGAAGTGGACGGCACTGGGGACAAACTCATGAACAGCAGAGCGACGATGAGGGTTGTGACGGGGGCGCGGCATGGATGATGCATGAGGGGGATGCGAGGAAACATCTGCCGAATGATGAGGGGGAGAGAGGGACGACGCGGAACGGTGCTGGTGAGGGGCGGACGGGGCAACGAGGAATGGCGAGGACGAGCGAGACGCGAGGAGCGGGGGAGGGGGGGGATGGCGTGGAGGGTTTTTTGTTACGAAACCGCACCACAATCTCGTCTGAAGGTTTGCGACCCGCACAGGCCCCAGCAGCAGGGCCCGCAGGCGACGTCCTGGCGGTGGCGATTCCTGTGGGCCCCGAGGGGCCATCGCCGTCGGAAGAGCGGCATCGGCGAACCGAGCTTGCCTTTGCCACGATTTGCCAGGCATTCAAGAAATGCCAGATGGTCGTATCCACGAACCCCGATGCGGTGAAAATAGTGGCGGACATTGTCGGGCGGGAGGGGGCGTGGCTGACTGCCAAGACACTCTCGTCACATGCTGAACGGATTGGCGTTCCAGAGGCCACCCTGGCATCGAAAGCAGAGCTGACTGCAGCCGCTGCGTGGATCGCCTATGTCTACAGCATGCGAGCTCAGATCCACCGCATTGCAGACGAGGCCTTTCGCGCCCACGGTGTTCTGCACGCCCTGTATGTGTTCACGCGTTTTGACGAGACGCCGTTGAGGCTCACTGTCGTAGACAAGAATGTGTTTTTCGGATTGCCGCAAGAGGTGGTCGACGAGGTGGCTGGTTTTTTTTTCTGAGAAGCATGAAGCTCGCGACGCTGGCGTCGCCAAGCTGCTTCAGCTCGAAGTGGAAGTGTGCATGCTCATTGAATGCGTGGCGCTTCGCGCACCGCCGCCAGTCCATCCAGAGGCGATGCCCAAACTAGTTGCGTCGGCTAGGGAGGCCCCCCGTGGCCAGAGGACACACCAATATCCCCCCCATTAACCCCCTACGTCATTTCCACACTAAAAAACCACAGCCCGTACAAAAAGAAGCTAAAACAAATGCGAGACATTAGACGCACGCGCACTAAACGCCTTAACTTACGCCCCGAGCGTCAGTTGGATTGCAGGGCAATTTTTTTTGTTTCGGCTGGAAGCCCCCGATTCCAATATTGAGTATGGGGCGAACCACTGCAGAGGTGTACGTGGAATGCGACAGGAGAGTTTCAATGATCCTGGGCTTGCGTGATCTAACTCCGAAGTTTCGTAGGCTGCACGCTTGGTTTTGCACTGATGGGGACAAAGCTATCGGGAAGGCCGCCAGATTTCTGCGGCACCAGCCGACTGTTGCACATCATTTGAGCTTTTCGCACACGACGTGCGACGTCCATCGGCAGTGCAATAATCGCCAAGCGAGCTTCGGCCAGCATAGCCTTGATATCTCTCGTTTGAGAAGGGCCTTGTTATCAATTACATTCGGGAATCATTTGAAATTGTTCCGCACCGCCCTCAAGAACGTATTGATCAGAATGCCCGTGGAGAGGGACGGTGTTCACAGCTACGCTGAAAGGGAGGCCATGTGTAGGAGTTTGGATTTCCTCGTCCCGAATGTCCCCGATAATGCAGAGAGGAGAGCACGTATTCTGGGGTCGTTTGCATGGTCTTCGAACAGCCCGACCACGTTCGTTGCAACAAACGGCGAGGGCGATGCCAGTCTGCATGCTCGGAAAATTAAGATCGCCAAGTATCATCGACGCTTCGCGTTTCGCCACCGCCCATTTCAGAGACTATCCTCCTCATGCCCCTCCCCCATCCTCCTCATTCTCCTCCGCCTTCTCCTCCTCGCCCTCCTCCTCCTGCCCCTCCTCCCCCTCCCCTTCCTCCTTCCCCTCCTCCTCCTCCTCCCCCTGCTCCCCCTCCCCCTCCCCCCCCCTTCATCCTGCTGCTGTTGCTGGCCCTCCTTGGGGTTCCATGGGGCTCTCCGAAGGCTGCGGGCCGCCCTCGCGCGGCGAAGGGGCATCTCCAAGATATCATCGGGGCTGCCCCGCAAACGCAACAACGGGGCTTGCAGAAGTCACGCAAAAGGTTGCAGGGGCACCTCAATTTTGGAGGTCTGGGGCGGGGCCCTCTCGGGGCCGTGGAAGGCCTGCGACGGGGTCGGCACTGCTTCGTTGGGCCTCCGATGATAGGGCCCTGAGAAAGCTCCAAAGGACTCCAGGTGGGCCACGCTAGGGCCGCAAGTGCGGCCCCATGCTCATGGAACCCGCTAAGGGGCCCATCTTGGGTTGTTTCGTTTTCGGTTCTCTCGGTGCTCTCGCGGGCCCCAGGGCCCCAGGGCAGAACGTGCGGAGACGGAGTCTCGATGGGTGGGGGGGGGGCGAGCCTCCTGCACCGCGTTGCGCCCAACAGGGCTGGGCGGGTTTATTCGGCACTGGTCCTGGTTCTTTTCCGAGCAACAAGTGGGTTAAGTGTGAAGAAGGGATGCGTTGGGTCGCTCTGCTTGCAATGCTCGGAATATGGGAATCTGCTTACGATGTGTTTTCACGTTTGGTGGGCAGCCTCGAGCACGATGGCGCCGCGGGCGCCGATCCTGACGGTCATGCTGCTGCCGCCGCGGCTGGCGCCCCAGCCATCGAGGGCGCGGCGGCGCCGCTGGCGCTGGACGACGAGGCCGTCCCTGACGGCCTTGCCCCAGACGGCCCCGACGGCCTCGAGGCCGCCGCTGTCGGCCCAGAGGGGCGCCAAGGCCGCCAGGCAGCTGACGATGCAGCTCGCGAACAGCACCGCTTCAGGCGATCGACTCTGGAGTGGAACAGGAGCGGTGCTGTGTTCGGTGACACGTTTGCAATGTCAGTGGCCATGGAACCGCACGTGCAGATCATGAGGCGGAAGCTGCACATCGGCGGCGACGGCTGGGAGAAAGAGCAATGCAGAAAAGTGCACGAGGGTAGGCGGGCCCATCTGGAGGCAAGTGGCGGACCTTCTGCTGCTGATGTCCCAGGAACGGCCCAACTTCGTGATTTTCGTTTGCCTCTCGCTTGGGCTGGCACACTGGAGTCTGAGTTTGCAGTGTCTAACAACCAGCTAATGGACGACCCCTCCACATGGGAACCTTTGCCACCCACGTGCAGGACAGTGGCTCACCAGACAAAGACGTGTCTCCTTCTGGCTCGGGCGGGTGCCCTCAACCATAACCAGAAGGTGTTCAACAGTAATTACCCTTGTAAGCTCATTGCTACATGCGTCCATGACCACCTCATTGACGATGTTGAGGCCGATGCCGTCTGTCCGAAGCGGCTCGATGCTGGTTCCCGCTCTTTTTATGATTATTACGAAGGCAACCTCAGGTCCACAGCTGCCAGGATGGATGTCCTCGTCCTTGCCATGAAAGCTCGGTTGGAAACAATCCTCATTGAGTACAGGCACCAGCGAATCCGTCGCTTCGTCCAGGGCAGAGGTGTGCAACAACGGGCTGTGGACACAAGAGGGGTGAATATTTTTTGGTTGATGGACTGGCTCGAAAAAGAGGCGAGGGGCCTTTGGGGCGCGCGGCGGCCCCGCCGTGACCAACGGCAGCAGCCCGCCCCAGCCGATGTGGACAGGGCGTATCAGCCGAAGCGGCGGCGGACATCTGTATACAATGCTTTTCTTGCGCAGGATTGCAGCGCAACGAATCGGGGCCCAATGTAAACTCAATCGCAGGAGCTTTTTCCCTCCGTCGAACGCCGAAACTTATCGACCGACGGTGGCGAACTGGTTTCGGCGATTGCGTTTGGTTCGGGCTCTGTTTGGGTTGCGCTGCCAGGAGCGATCTGGCGCGACGGGTGGCGACGGCAGATACGCGCCTGGCATTGGCGACAGGTACTGGGACTTGACCGATGCTGAGGTCGAGCAGCTCATGCAGCGCTGCGACGATGCCGACGCCGCCAAGGCTGCTGGGAACCCAACCCCGTACGGTGGTCGGGCCATCCGGAGCCAGGCGCTGGCCATCGTGCCGCGCGGCTTGCCGCCCCTAGCAGGTGCCCAGCTTGTTCGTTTGGAGCGCGCGGATGTCTTGCAGCGGGCGGAGGAATTCAGGGTCCTCGCACGGCACCGTCACAAGCTCCAGCGCGAGAAATCAGCGGAGGAAGACCGCCGATGTGCTCAGGATGACTTGTCGCTGGACGGCATTGTGGCGGCGGCCTCGTCCACTTTTGCTGCAGTTCGCGACGTGCCGCACAACGACGAGGGGGACCCCCCGTGGAATGGAGTTGGCGGAGGCGACCTGGTTTTCTTGTCGCAGCGGTGGTCAGAGCTGAAGAGGCTCGCCGAGGCCATCGCGACCATCGATGTCAGAAAATACAGGCAGAGTGGGATCAGCGAGCTCCATAAGGCCTTGGTCGGCGTCTTCCGCGACCACTGCGAGACCGTGCAGCAGCCGACGTCCAAGCTCGCTGGTCCAGGGTCTGCGCCCCCCCCGCTCTCAGACTACATCTGCCACGCTGCGAATCGCTGCGTGTGTTCGAAGGCTGGGCGCGCGAGCATCTCCATGCTGAACGCTATCAACGCCCACGCCAGACGGCTGTATCCCAGGGGCGACCTACGGAGACAGTTCGTCGCGAGCCACGTTGTCATTGTGTTGTTGGGGCAGAGCTGCTTGCCGACAGACGCTGCAGGGAAGGTCGCGTTCGACCTCGGCGCGCTCGCAGACGAAGTGATCTTTCTCCTCGTGGCGTTCACCTTGGAGAAGCCATGGGAGATTACGTTCTTGGAGCTGGACCCCGATGAGGATGTCCGCGACCGCTTTCGACAGCGATCATGGGACGAAGCAGCCAACCAGTGGACGTGTCACCGACCCGATGGGCTAGTGAGGCTCGTCGACACCAAGCACCAGTATTTCACGCAGTACGAGCTGACCGCCACCATGCGGACAACGCTTCGCTGGGACTGCGCCTGGCTTGAGGTTTATTTTGGTGCCGACATCGTGGGCGATTTCGTGCCGAACAAGTGTTTCGTGAAACAGAAGTCTGCTTGTCTGCACCCGATATGGGTCCCAAAGGGAGCGAAGAGGTCCGCGGATGGATTTGCTTCTTGGGCGGCCCTGGCTGCCGCAGATGACGATGACGATCCCGACGACCTCGGAGGGGAAGTTGCTGTCGATGCAGCTGCAGAGTCGGACGAGCCCGACCCTGAGGGCGACGAGCTGGCGGCTGAGAGCGAACCAGGAGATAGCGCAGGCACTGAGACTGGCGGCAGCGTATTGTCAGATGACATCTCCGACGGCGACGATGCAGCTATGCCGCCAGTGGTTCCAGTAGCTCCTCCTGCGCCACCTCCGCCACCGCCGCCGCCTCCGCCAGTTCCGCCGCCTGCTGGCGGTGGAGGCGGCGGGGGCCTGCCAGCTCACATCGTTGTTCTTGTGCCTGGCCTCGGGCGGATCAGCTATTACGACACATTTGATCGGAAGTACTTCGTGGCCAACTGCGCGGACCCTGATCACGTCTGCCACTTGCCGTGCCACACCACTCGCGTGTCCACGCCAGGGCACAAGAAGGGTCAAGGCCGCCCGCTCGGGTGGATGATGTCGTGGCTGGAGCGGCAGGGCGGCCTTGCGGCTGCCAGGGCCGCGACGCGGCATGACCATGTGCACGGCGGCTGGAGGCCCACGTTCGAGGAGCGCCGCGCGGCCAGAGAGCGGCTCGCTCTGTTGCCTGGCGGCCTTGCGTTGATTGCAGAGGAGTTCGTTCCTCCAGGCCAGGATCCTGGAGCAGAGCCTATCGAGTTCGTGTAAAATGATTTCCAATTGATGTCTTGTTATGCTCTATACGATGGCTCGCGCCTCGACCATTCCGACTCGAGCACGGCGTTCTCACTGTAGATTCTGTGCGGTTCGCGCGTGGCGCACAATCCCCGCCAGCCCCTCCAGATGCGATGCGTTGTTTGGCCTTGGTCTTGGGCTGTTGTGGGATGTTTTGGGCTCTGCCCCCACCTCCTCTTCCTCTCGGATTCCTGGGCGCGGGTGGGGCGGGGCCGACCTGGCCCGAACTTCTGATCCATGGGGTCTTTCGACGGCGGTGTTTGCATTCGCAGTGCCAGGGTTCCGCCGACCCCTCCCCCCCGCCCTCGCCGCATACACAATTCATTATGCTAGCTGCTCGGTCAGTCCGACGGGCCCCGCGGGCCGCGATCCGTGCGAAGGGTGCGCCGAATTGGGGCGTGCCATTTCTGACAACATCCCGCGGGTTACGATCCGCGGGCAGACAGAAGCAGAACCGAGAAGGGGCAGGACATCAGCAACATAACAGCGAACGGCAGGAACCAAACAGACAGAGGGAGAGAGAGGGATGACGATGAGGGATGAGCGGGACAATAAGGGCGCGCACTGCCGCTTGGCTCAACACGCCGCTTTGCCCCCTTATGGGGCGCGTCCAGGATCATGCGCACTCCCCTCATAATTTTCTTTCTGTCCGTCAGCGCCCGTGCCTTGGCGTCGCCGCCCCACCTGTTGGCCCCGAGCCAGCCGAACTCGGCGCCGACATCGTGCCATCATAAACCATAAAAAATGTTGACGCTTCGCGAGTCCCCGCCAGCCCATCCAGAAACGATGCCCAGAGGAATTGCCTCGACCAGGGAAGTGGGGCAGCACGCAGAGGAAGCCAATGTGAGATATCTTGAGATGTCTTGGGTTTGGAGGTCGCTTTGGGCTCTCCCAGGCGCTGTTGGGGCCATCTTAGTCCGTGGCCCCCCCACGCGAGGCCAACATGTTAGCGGCTAAAACCCCACTTGAATCATTGATTATTGGCATTCTCGCCGAGGCCTCTTGGAGCATCTTGGGTGTCGATGGGGGGGTCTTTCGGGGCATCTTGGGGGTCTCTTGGGGGCCTCCTGGGTGCCTCTTGGGGGCCTCCTGAGGCCATATCGGTGCCATCGTGGGACCTCTCGGGGCCTCATGGGCGCTTCTTGGGGCCATCTTGGAGGATATCGACCAAACATGAGGGGGGCTTTAATTAGCCCCCCCCCCCCCCCAGAAGGCCAACATGGGGCCAAAACCATAATAAAACTTATGATGTTGGCTTCCTCGCCGAGGCCGTTTCGGGTGCCCCGACGACTCGCGCCATCCCCTGCCCAGGTCGTGTAGGGGGGGGGGGGTGGGCAAACCCCTTCCCCGAAGGGGAAGACGGAGGGGCGGAATAAGAAACTCCCTCAACCACCGACGCCCAGAGGGCTGATGGGACTCAGTCGGCGCATCTTGCCGACGCCAAGCCCGATGCCAACCCAGCAGCACCAAGCGCGCAGTGACTGAAACGCCATGCCAAACCAGCCTCCGAAACCAACTGCGCAGAGACCTCAGCGCAATATCAGCGCGGCTCGGCCGAACGGTTTCGCAATCTCCCAGGGTGCGCCGCTGAAGTGGGGATCCGCGATGGGTGGTTTGCTCGTTGTCGTCGTCGTCGTCGTCATTGCGGGTGCGTCGCAGCGCGGGCGCGTCGCGGCGCAGGCGGCCCGCTGCGCGGGTAGGTCGCAGCGCGGGTGGGGCGCGGCACCGATGGGCCACGAACGCGCCGCGCGCGGGGCGCGGGCGCAGGAAGGCAACAAGAGATGTCACACCAGGCAGCGTTCGCGTGACTGCCCGAGAAGCTTGGTGGCGCCCTTCCGCCACCAAGGGCGTCTCGGAACTGTTGGCGGTGCCCTCCTCGGCAGCGCCTGAGGGGCCGCGTCGTTCGTTGCAGCGCCCCATGGGGGCGCAGAGACGACTCCGATGCACGTCGGCCAATGCGGCCCCAAGAGCGGTTGCGCGATCATTCTTGCGTGATCGGGGTGGTGGGCGTTCGTCTGGGCAACGTTGGGGCGTTCCTGGGGCACGGTGCCTCGGGCCCTGGCGGGCGCGGGCGAGGGGGCATATTGGCCTAACGTGGCGTCTCGATTACCCCACGGTTAGATCGGGTGGTACCCCGAGGTCGGTCGCGTTGGCGCTCTTCCCCGTGGCGGATTGTGATGCCCTGCCTTTTGATGTCGTGGGCCCTATCGAGGCCGCCGTGTGGCCCGCCCCCCGACCGACCATCGCAAAGCCTTTGGGCCTAAGAGGGCGCCGAAACAACCCCAAGAGGGTCCGAAAGCAGCTGCGCAATGATACCCAGAGACCGACATCGCGAGAACGCGTTCGCGGGACCGCGTTGGTGCGTTTACCAAGTACCCTCGGGCAAAGTCGGGGCCGTGCCGCGGCCGCGCTGCGCCTTCTACGGTGGGCGGGCGGCCGTGCCGATGTGCCGCCAACGCGCCGCGAGGCGGGCGTGCCGCGGGCGGGTCGCAGGCGCTGGCCCGTCCAGTGCGTTTGTTCTGCGCTGCAATTACGAACCGATGCGCGTTGGCAGAAGCGCCATGCCGAAGCAGCCCCAGCTGGCCCGAACGACGCCGCGGCGCGCGCCACCACCATGTGCGTCATATTCCGCGAGTCAGCTTTCTATTTACAACCGATGGCAATCCGCGCGGGCTCTCGAATACTCGGACACCTCAACCCCCGCTGCCTGCGCCAACTGGCCAAGTCACCGCAAGCCTTGAGACCGTGTTAACCCCAACTTGCGCAACACCGCGGCGCCTAAGGTACGCCGCCACCTGGCACCACCCCCGCTCCCAATATACACCGCCCACTGCGAGCGCGCCGAACGCAATCTGCATCAACTCTTGCCAACGCTACAACGCCAGGCCACATCGGCCGCCGCCTCCCCGACCAAAGCAACACGTTACCGCGGGCCGCCCACCAGACCGCCGCGCGTTTTGCATGCGCGCGGAAGGCAGACATGTTCACTCGCCGCCCGCGGTTCCATGCCAAACCTATTGCATCGCCCGCAGGCCGCCCGTCCGCAGCCTGACACACAGTTTCTGATTGCTCTTCGATACAAGGCAGCGCAAGCGTCCGACTGACCAGCGCGACCTACTTGAATGTATGCGAGCCTCCTCCAACCCATGCCACCACCACAACTGCTGGTTGCTTGCGCGAACCAGGATGCGTTAAATCCCGCCAGCTGCCCCGAGGCCAGCCCTGGTTATGCGCCACAGGCCGCGCAAGCGCGACCCCCCTCCATGCATTCTAACGCTGCACCACCAACCCATGTCACAACCATGCTGGCACAAACTCGACCTCTTTGACCCCGCCGCGAGCGTGCGAAGCCCAGGCAGCGGCAACCTCTGCCCCGTTTGGAATGCCAAAACCACCGACCACCGCCAACTACGCCGACCACGCCACGCCTTACCAGCCTTCTGAACCCTACGCGCGTCAGTTCTTCTGGCCCGCCGCGCCAATCAACATCGACGACCGCCCCCTGGCGCAAACCCGCTTGCGTTCCAGCAGGTCTCCCCACCACCGCCCATCTACGCGCAGAGAAAGCTTGGCCGCCAACGTATCTCAACGCCCGCGAACAGCGGCCAACCCCGCCGACGCCACACCCAAGGAACCATCGCAGCAACGCAAACAAAATTCAACATCGCCCAGCTGCGGCTAGCCCGCTAGGTCGGCCTGCGCAAATTCCAAGCTCGCCGACATGTGCCGAACCATCCGCCGCGAGCTGTCGCTGCACCCCGCGCCCAAGGTCCTGCGACCTCTTCGGGCGGCGGGCTGCGTGAACCGCCGCCATGGGGTCCATGATGTGTCCATGCCGCCCCGAGGCCCTCGCACCCCTCAGCTAATTTCTCCAACGCCGACGGTGGCACTTTACTCGGGACCTCAAACCCAACCTGTCCCTGGCGCATTTCAGCCAAAAAAGCCACAACCCTTGACACCCGCCAAGCCGACCGACCCAACCTTCCGCGAACCCACGCGCGCGCCGCAATGCACCGACCCCAGATAACAAACGCAGGCCCGCCCGACCTTTCCACCACGCATGGCGTGGCCGTGCGCACCCCAGACTGCCCGAAATATTGCCATCGCTCCGCGACAGTTCCACCTCGGCTGCGTCATGCGCGCCCCAGCTCGCCTCGACCCCCCCCCCCCGCCCCCTACGCCTCTTCCGCCCGCGGCCGCGCCCAGCGCGCCTCGGCATCCTGGTGCTTTGACATCCGACGTGCGCCAATTCCGACCAACACCTACAAACCCGACTACTTCATCCACCGCAGACCCCCCCCCCACACTTGCCCAACCGTCCGCGATCTTCGGGCGCGGTCCGCCGCGGCGCCCGAGTTCCCAACCGCGTCGACGCCGACCGCCGCAAACATTCAACCGACATTTCTGCGCGCCCATGAACCCGACGCTGCTTTGAATCCCGACATCAATGTGCATTTCGCCTGCCGCGGCCCCGTAAACCGTAAACCTCTCGCTTACCTCGGCTTCTGCAAGCCCGTCAGCACAGCGTTCGCCACACCTTTCGCCTCGCCGACGCAACTTGCCCCCGCGCGTCGTATTCCATCGGCGCCGCGGCGACAACTGCGAACCCTTGAAGGCCAACCTGCCACAACTACTGCCATCGGCACCACGCCCCGCCCACGCATCCACCCCAAACCCCGCCATTGCGCGCGCACCCACCCGCCCCCAGCCCGTGCCAGACATTCAACCGCAACCCGCCTCAAATGGCCAGTGCCGCGCCTGACCGCGCCGATTGCCGCAATCACTTGGGCCCAACTGCGGCCGCAAGCTCGCGAATCCGTCACCCGCCCCGCGCTTCGCCGACCAGGCGCCGCGCGCTTGGGGCCCAA